ACGTAACCATTACGTAATGCCTATTGTATTTTACGTAATGTGACCTGTGAAACCTGCTATAGCAGGTAAAAAAATTCAAGTTACCTTACTTCAAGGTACCGTAGGAAATTCCTATAATTATAATACTTCTTTCTTCATATTGTAGTTTTATTCATGGTTCAAGAAATTTTATTATATCTGTCGGTCTGAGCAAAAATATCGTACACCGGTTCCTAAATAATAAGCGATTTTAGCATTACAAAACAATTGAATTACGATTTCAATACAAAATATATTATCACTAATTTTTTCAGTATAACTTCCGATACAGTTTCACAAACATTGGTTTTATTACCTAATGCATAATTCTCATTTATACCGACTATTTCTTCCCATGCCCACCCCACCCCCTAACTTTGTTTCTTGTTGCGGTTATTCCAATGAGGAAAACCAAATTAAAATATAAAAAAATTGAAGTTGACAAAATTTATGTGGGAGTCATAGTGTAATTACTGAGCTGTAGCACGTTGGTAATGCGTAATTCTTGCTTTCCAAGACTCGATTAGTGAGAGAATTGAGACCGAAAGCAAAATCAGTTATGTAGTGATCAACCGAAAAACTTGCAGTGTTATCATAGTAGAAAGGACCTGCTAGCTGAAGCTTAGTTGAAAAGTGCTGGATTTTGGTGGGTCTGCTTGAACGAGTGCAATGGCAATCAATATTAATATGTCTAATTGAATTTTTTTGTCATTCTTACAGCAAATAGACTATCATAGTAGATGGTATAAGGCCTGGGATGTTGAACTGGAAGTTCTTTAGATAGGAAATGCAACTATTGTAGGTCTGCAGAAGTATCTGCCAAACCTCTATATTCTACTCCAGCAAAAGACGTTGAAACAGTTTGTTGCTTCTTGGAATGTTGGCTAATGAGGGGATATCCAAGGAAAACACAAAAGCCAATGATTGATTTTCTTGTGTCTGGACATCCAACCTAATCAGAATTTGAGAATGATGTGAGTTTAATATTGAAATTGCTGGGAAAGAACAACCATATGGTAGGAGTCTTACACTCCGTTTGGCAACGAGGAGGGTGCAAATTCGAGGAGGGTGCATATTGAGGTGTAAATTATAAGGGGGAGTAAATTTAAAGAATGTGCAAATTGGGGTGCGAATAATCGTTTGGGAGAAAAAGCAGGAGGGTGCAAATTAGGAGTGGGTTTAGATTTTAATAATATTATTATATTAAAAAGTAACTTTAAAATTAAAAATAAAGTCATTTTTTTATCCCTTCACATGCGTCTCTCTCCTTCTCTCTTTTCCCTATTTCCTTTCCATCTTTCTCTCTCCCCCTGCACCCAAATTTGGGGAAAAAATTCAAAAGTACCACTGTTTAAAAAAAAATTTCCAAAAATACCACCAAACCCCAAAAAATTCCAAAAATACCACCCTTTTTCAAAAACCGCCACCCCACCTAGCGGTTTGGTCGAAAACCGCTTGTCGGGAGGCGCGGTTTTGGACCAAACCGCGGGCCTAGGGGGCGGTTATAAAAAAAAAAAAATTGGACCAAAACCGCTGGGTGGGGTGGCGGTTTGGCCCAAAACCGCCACCCCTACCAGCGGTTTGGTCCAAAAGTTCGGTCGAAACTTCAAACGAACGTAAATTTGCACTCGGGTATCCGATCGTAGTGATTTTTTTTTCATTTCGCATAACTTTTCAAGATCTACAACTTTTACTAGGATGAAATTTTCAAAACAGGAACTATTTGTGGATATACGGGACCTTGAGAATAACTTTACCTTTACTTTTCAGAAATCCATGTGCATTTTGAAATTATGATTATATTAAAAGTTGTAGATCTTGAAAATTTATGCGGAATCAAAAAAAAGTTCATAACATTCGGAGTTTGGAGCACAAAGTTATGGCCGCCCAAAGTTTGACGAAAGGCGAGACCCGGCGGTTTGCGGCTTGCAAGATCTCAAAAAGTTTGCGGCCTCCATTTTTTGAATCCGAATAATTTTTTGAGATCTTGCAAGTCTCAAACAGTCTTCTCGAAAAAACGTCATTTGCCACCCCGAACGACCTTTTTATTTCGTCAAACTTTGGGCGGCCATAACTTTGTGCTACAAAATCCGAATGTCATGAATTTTTTTTTTATTCCGCATAACTTTTCAAGATATACAACTTTTAATATAATCATAATTTCAAAATGTACATGGATTTCTGAAAAGTAAAGGTAAAGTTATTCTCAAGGTCCCGTATATCCACAAATAGTTCCTGTTTTGAAAATTTCATCCTAGTAAAAGTTGTAGATCTTGAAAAGTTATGCGAAATAAAAAAAAATATCGCTACAATCGGATACCCGAGTGCAAAGTTACGTTCGTTTGAAGTTTCGACCGAACTTTTGGACCAAACCGCTGGTTGGGGTGGCGGTTTTGGGCCAAACCGCCACCCCACCCAGCGGTTTTGGGACAAACCGCCACCCCACCCAGCGGTTTTGGTCCAAATTTTTTTTTTTTTTATAACCGCCCCCTAGGCCCGCGGTTTGGTCCAAAACCGCGCCCCCGACAAGCGGTTTTCGACCAAACCGCTGGGTGGGGTGGCGGTTTTTGAAAAAGGGTGGTATTTTTGGAATTTTTTGGGATTGGGTGGTATTTTTGAAATTTTTTTTTTAAACAGTGGTACTTTTGGATTTTTTCCCAAATTTGGGGGGCTTGGGCAAATAGTAGATTTGCACCACAATTTGTGCACCCCTACTATTCAAAATCTTGCCAAATGAGTGCAAAGTTCTTGGGAAAGGGATTTACCCCTCCCTTTTACGCCCCCCTCTCATTTACTCCCTTCTCAAACAGAGTGTTAATGTATTCAAGTTGAGGGGGAAATTGTGGGTGTGTAAATTGGTGGGGCAGTAAATGAAAGAGGAAATTGTTATTTGGAATGAAAAGATAGGGAATGCAAATATAGTAAAATGTAAGTAAATTATATTTTTATTAAAATTAAAAAAAATGTATAGAATAAAATAAGATATTTTATTTAATAATCTTAAATATTAATAAATATACTTTAATAAAAAATAATTATTAAAAGGTAATGATCAAATAGTAATTAATTATTTCAATTATAGTAATCAATAGTCGAGCAATCTCAAGCTCGTAGCTTAACTCGTTACTGGTCATCCTGCAGGGTTCTCCTACCTAGTTTAACTTTAAAATGGATGTGGTCAAATTTAGTCAAACATCTTCGAATTTGTAAGTTTTAACTATTTAGTCAAGTATACTGAGTCAACCAATTCATTTCTCTCTACATTTTCCTCAAACACTTCTTCTCTCTAATTTTCAAAGCAAGTTCGAGGGAGACAAGAGATTTCGATTTGACTAGACAAACCTTGACAAACTTGCTACATAAGTCAAACGAACAACCATGAACGTGTACATTGATAATAATCATAAGAAAAATATGGATAATATTAATTATTATATAATTATAAAACAAAAAAATATAAAGCTTATAATCTCTATCATCTCCTTCCCTTCCCTTTCTTCCTATGCAACCCAATTTAGGGGGTAATCCAAAATAGTAAATTTGCAAACCTATTTTTTACACAGTTGGTATAATTGTATTCTTAAATAGGATTAGGCATGTGGGTGGTTAATCCCCAATTTGACATTAATCAACCCGTAAATAATCCGAACCGTAGTGTGTGGGTGATTTGCGAGTTACCCGAATGACTCGCACCATATTTTCATATGACAAAATGTTGTTTCTTAGTGCCCATCGACTTCCAAAGGTGGAGAATAAATAATATTTTTCGACTACTATTATTTGTTACTATATTGTGTAATGTTCATTAGATATTGTGATGCAAATTATAAAATATTAATTATATCAGTCACAGTGCATCAATTTTTTCTACGCAATTGGTTGATATAGTAATGAAAAATATAATACAAATACTATTATAAATGTAGTCAACTTTCTTAATAACTAGATGAAAAATTATTTTTGCGGGTTGACTCGGAACTAAATGCAGCGATCCGCCACCTACCCAACCCAAAAAAAAATATAGGATGGCAAATCATAATTATATCAACCCGCTAGTTAGTGACTAGTGAGTGGGTCAATTTGAACCAAAACCTACCCAATGCCCACCCTATTCGTAATTGTGTTTACCCCAAATTTCCATCGTTGCCTTGAAGAAATGTAGTCTCACACTTTCGCGGTCTCCAGCTATCAAGTAAGCCAATGGCAGCAATATCTCCAATCCTAACATTTACAGGACCAGAACGGGAAATATAAAAAAAATAGGGTTAATACCTTATTTTGGCCCGAACTATGACCATATAATCAACTTTGGCCCGTGGTTTCAGAAATTAACATCATGGCCTCAACTATGCAGCATATAGACTCAATTGGCCCGACACATAGTTTGACCGTCAATTTGGACGGTCAACTCCGTTGACCGTTAGTCAACACGCCATGTCATTGCCTAGTCAGCCTAAAAATTATTAAAAAAATTATTTATTATCCAATTAACCAAAAATTAATTATAAAAAACATAAAATAAAATATATTTTTTTGGATAATTTGAAAATGATGAATTTTATAAATTAACAAAAAATTATCAAATTATTTTATATTTTCAAAACATCCCACAAAAATATATTTTATATCATAATTTTTAAATTTATAAAATTTAATTTGATAATTTTGGTTAATTTATAAAATTATCATTTTCAAATATCCCAAAAAAAATTATTTTATATTTTCAAAATTTTATTTTTTGGTAAATTGGAAAATGATAAATAATAGAAATTAGGAAAATAATTTGAATTTGAATTTTTTTTAATGATTTTTATGCTGACTAGGCAATGACATGGCATGTTGACTAACAGTCAACCGAGTTGACCGTCCAAATTGACGGTCAAACTATGTGGCGGGCCAATTGAGTCTATATGCTGCATAGTTGAGGCCAGGATGTTAATTTCTGAAACCACGAGCCAAAGTTGATTATATGGTCATAGTTCGGGCCAAAATAAGGTATTAACCCAAAAAAATATAAGAGATGGAAGTGATGCCAAACCAATGGTAGTTTACGAGAAGTTCATCCCAAAATTCCGCAGACCAACCCAATTCAGATGAGCACAACATCAAAATGGAAAAAGCATTGCATCCTACCCAAAAACATTCAGCATCCTAACTTGACCGGGCAAAGAACAAAACGAGTTCGGAAACAACTCAACCACGGAACAGAAAAGACCTAACAAGTTGGGAAATATCCAAGGAGAACGAACACTCTCTAAAAACAACGAAATCACCAAAAATGTGTCTTCACGGTGGTGCAAAACCCCTTGCACTCTTTTATTCTTCCATCCACATAAAGCCCCCGTGACTACTCTAGGGCACAATACCATCATTCAGCGACAGCGAAGAGAGCTGATCGGCTGCGTTGTTTGCCTGTGGATGAGCAGCAGCAGATACGTTCCGGAGCACTTCCATTGCCTCTGCTACTTTAGCCTTCAGGGCGTCCGGTGACTCGAGCAAATGCAAGACCTCAGTCTGATCCATCTCCAGGAGCATCCCAGTAACCTTGGCTGCCGAGTCATGCTCCAGCTGCTCCACCAGTGGGTACAGGCTTTCACCCAACAGCTGCACAATGCGAAAAGATTTCAATCTAAGGATAAATGGCAATAAAGATGGTAACAAAGAACAAAGCACAACTAAAAAAACAGCATACAGTTCGCTGTTGTTCAGGAGTTGAATTGGCAAGGGCTGATGCAAGAGCCGTGATGGGCATAGGCTGCCCCCCAGCTGCAGCCTCACGTATTCCCATGCCACCCATGTCATAGGGGACAGAGAGCATGGCTCCACCTTGCATGGGAAGTTCAGACATGTTGCGACCGGGAGGGTAACGGTAGCCACGTCCACCCCTAGGCATCATCTGCAATTTCAGCCAGTATACTGTTTAATATTGTATTTTATAACAAGAAAAAATGTAGATTAATCAAATCCATTGATTGATTCATTCATTCAACAAGACCTGCTGGGGCATCATGGGAACTGGTTGTTGTGATTGCTGTACCGGGCCTCCACGACGACCACCAGGGCGTTGGCCTTGTTGACCCTGGACAACAGGTACGAAGTAGTTTGGCATGGGACCACCACCAGGCCTCATCCCTGGCACAAGTTGCTGATGGTAGCCAAACCCACCCTACAATACTCACCAAAGTAGTAAGAAAAAACAATCCAGTCTTTATAATGTAGTATACCAACAGCGACAGTGGAAATCAGGGAAGGTACCTGAGTAGGAATCATGGCTGGAGGACCTTGGCCATAAAGAAACTGCTGCCCAAGCCCAGGTGCACCAGGGGGAAACATTGGCATACGAGGGCCAACTGCAGGAGGCATAGGAACTGGCCTCATTTGTGAAAACTGAGCCTGCAAAACGACAATAGTCAACCAACAAAGGCCACACCCCGGGATACATTCCCAAAATTCCTAACGAGTATAAAATAGTAAATCATAAAAATGACTTTAAGAGGTTTAAAATGACAGTTGATTATATTGGATTTCCATACACAAATCAAACATGAGCAAATGGAAAATCCAACAACATCAATAATATATGAACAATAAGTCTCTCCATGTGTTTAAAATATTTTCAATGAAGTGCACCATCCATGAGAATGATACACAATTACTGAACCTGAAGCCTTGCTCGACGTTCCTCCTTGCGTTGAGCATGCGCAACGTAGAGAGGCTTGCTAACAATCATCTTTCCATTCATCTCATTAATCTGAGAAGAAAACAGAATTGGCACTCAATTATTGTTACAAACTGGCAAGTAGTTTAATCATATGGATACTGGGACCAATAAACCCTTTAACTTACAGCTCGAGAAGCCTCTTCAGGTGTAGCGAATGCAACAAACCCCGAACCTTTGCTAACTCCACTTGGATCACGCACAACCTTTAAATTCACCCCCAAAAAAGAAACAGTCAAAGTTGAGCAAAATTTTGAAAGAAGAAAAGGATGCAGCAGCCAAAAAAGTGCACATATCATACCTTGCATGATGTTACTGTACCAAATTCAGAGAACATCTCCTTGAGCATTTCATCAGATATGGTGTCATCCAAGTTCTTAATGTAGAGATTAAGGCCTTGGTACTTATCTACAGCTTCCTTCATACTTTGCTCAAACCGTCCTTTCAGTTCTTGCTCTCTTTCAGATTTCTTCTGAGCCTTTGCGACAAACCATTCTTTGTCATCAAATTTTTCCCCGTTAAGAGCCTCAACAGCTTTAGCTGCATCATCTGCATTTTCAAAATTAACAAAGCCAAAACACCTAGACTTCCCATCTCCATCCCTCATCACCACAGCACTAGTAATTGAACCATACTCTCCAAAAACATTCTTCAAGTCTTCATCCGCTGTTGATTCGGAAAGATTTTTCACAAATACATTATTGAATCTCGTATTACTTGTAGAACTATCTCTCTCCTGCTTACGGAGAAAGGGCCCAACATAAACTTGCTTATCATTAATCAGCATGCCATTCAACTTGTCAATAGCATTCTTAGCAGCTTCCTCGGTATCAAATTGAACAAAACCATAACCTTTGGACTGTCCAGAAGCATCAGTAGCCACTTTGCATGACAGAATGTTGCCGAAGGCAGAGAAAGTGTCATGCAAAGCTTTGTGATCAATTGCCTTGTCAAGGTTCTGCAGTGCACAAAATGACATCACCAAAAGTAGAGAGAAAGTAATATAGTTGTATATACAATGAAAAAATCAACAGCATATTAGGGACCTGGGAAACAAAAATGTATACTAAAATTTACTACTGACTTTATGACCCAGGAGCATCACAGAAAGAATATAATACTGAATCGAGGTTTACGGTTCAAGGAAGAAGTCCAAGATACCATAAAACAAAGCAGTAACAAAATTAAAGATTATGGATAGCAACATTATAGGCTGAAACCAAGAGCAAGTACCTTGATGTAGATATTTCCTGCACCACTCTTACGAAGACTAGGATCCCTATGTGAATACATGATCCTGATAGGACTGTTGTTGAGTGGAGTGAAGTTCAACAATTCCAATGCCCTTGCAGCTGTTGAGCAGGGGGGAAGGGTGGAAAAGCGTAAGTAATCGGCTTATGGTATATACTACAAACTTTCTACCAAAAAAGAATAACAATGAACATAAGAATGTGCGAAAAGTAAGAGTGGCCACACAAGAGCAAGTGAAACTAATAAGGCATCATGTGAACAGGGTCGGTTGAGGTTAATCATGAAGAGAGCATACAGTAAGCACCCTACAAAAACATATTAAACTTCGTACTTGGGGCAAGTATAAACTCCACAAAGAGACCATTCAATCTGCATATAGATAAGCTTTATTAGGATTTGAAGATGCAAAATGCAACTGAATGATGAGTTTAGAATCATCCTATGAACAATGAATCCAGCAATCCCGACTGAGACTTGGGTCCAATCCAAATATAAACCGACTTTACACAAAGTATAATTGTATATACATGCAACTATGCCATGTTCCAAAGCAATCCATTCAGCATATAGCCTAATTCTCGTTTCAACACAAGAACAAGCTCCATCGTACGCAATGTGCCCTATGGTGGTCATCAATTTAGCAATTACATTCAAGAGCTCGCACACCGGTAAAAAGTATTAAACAATCCAGCATAAACATGCACACCCAAAACCACAGAGCATTCCATAAGGCAAACCCTAAACTACAAAAAGGTAAGCGATTACGAAATTACTGACCTTCCTGTCCATTGGTGAAGTTAATGTAAGCATAGCCGAGAGATCGCCGGGTAGTCTGGTCCCTGCAGACCCGAATGGACACCAGCTGGCCGACTTGGCCAAACAGATCGGCAAGCTGCGCCTCGGACACGTTGAGATCAAGATCTCCAACATAGAGCGAGGTGGAACCTAAAGGGATTGGTCCAGTCGCCACCCCACCAGCCATTCCATTCTGAGTGGGCATCGACTGAGGAGGCGGAGGAGCCGCAGCTCCCGTCGCCGCCGCCTGCTGTCGCTGCACCTGAATCTGCGCCATCTCAGAACCTTTGAGCCCTTCTGCAAATCCCACTCCTTTTTTCTTCTTCTACCTTTCCTAGAACCAAATTTTTTTTATTTTTTTTCTCCGTTCCCCACTCTCCTCGTTACGATTATATAAGAATCGGAAACCTCGAGAGAGACGATAAAAACACAGTGGCTTTCACGGCGCCACTCTATCTCCCGAATGTGATCCTAAAACGAAAACCGGACAAGTAATAGAGGGCAAAATTTAGGGATAATAAAAGAGGAGAGGGGGCGGGGGATAGGATATAGGAGGGATAGAATCGTCGGCGACCGGAGACGGACACTACCGGACGGCTAGACGATGGAGAGGAAAAGGAGAATTTTTTTTTTTGGTGTTTTTTTAAGGGTGGGAGGGCAGAAGCTCGAACTGCACCGCGCCGGCGGTGGAGTAACTGTGGAGGTTATATACTCTGGGAGTCACAAACCCTAGTTTCCTACTCTGTGGTTGTTGTCAGGAGCCGTAGGATGTAATTGCTGGACGGTCGCGATGAGAAACGTTGATGAGGAAGAACCGGGTGCGCGTGGTGGTGAGAGCAGAGTAACATTACACCGGGAATTTTACATCAAAGTTATCGAAAATTTCCCAAAGAGGGAGAAAGAAAAGGGAAACAGCCACTCCCTTGTCGGGATCGGTCGTTTTGTCAGTAGTCGTCAAAGCCCAATCGTATAGAATGGGCCTATTTGAGGACCATGTTTGGATCACTTAGAGAAGCCCAATGAGAATATTCTTTCGTTGCGGACTGTTTAGTAAATTATTAATTAATTGGAGCATAATAAACATGAGTACTATAAGTATGCATTCCAAATATTTTTGGGGGAAAAAAAGTACGCATTCCAAATATCGCAATAAATATAAATTAAGATGTTAGAATGACAAGTCTTAGGTTTGTAGTCAGTTGATTGTACATGTTAACAAAGGCTTATGCAAGGAGTTAAGACCATCTCCAATCCTAGGAGTAGAAAATCAAATAACCAAAAATTAGCACTCCACTGGTAAGATCAAAGGGCTAGAAAACCAAAAAAACCAAAATTTAGGATCAAATTTGGACCACAAAACGCTAAGAAGGACCAAAATTGGGGGCCGGGTTTTGCACTGAAGAGATGCGTCGCACGCGCGGCGAGGTAAGGAGTGCGCCCCTTGCCACGTGTTTGGCGCACCGCCGCCTCGTGCGACTAGTCGTCGGATGGAGCAGTTTCAAATTAAAAAAATAAAGAAATTCTTACCCTACAGTCCATGACTTCAGCTCAACGACTCTTTGGACTCCAACACCAATTTTTTTTTTCTTCTCAAAGTTCTCTATAAATAGACATCAATTCTACACTTATAGTTACATGAACCTCCCCAATTTTCTCTCCTTCTCATCATAAACACATTTCTCTTCTTCTCATCAAACAAAAGAACTACTCTTTTTCACAAACTCTTGTTTTTCAACTGAAAGCAAAATGACCTCAACAGACTTGTAAGTTGTGAACCTCTATGTCTCTATCAAACTCTCGACTGAGTTTTGTGCTTTCAGTTTGGTCTTTCTCGAGCGGGGTTTAGTACATTCATCATATAGTTCGTTAGGGTTTCCCTCTTTTGTTCACAATTAGTGGCAGATTCAGAATCGATGAACAAGTGTGTCGGTCTATAAAATAAGATTTTAAAAGAATTTAAATAAAAATAAGGCAAAATATACTTGCATAGCCATAATTTTTCACCTTTTGACAATAATAGCTAAATTTTGAAAAATACTCAAATATAGCCAAATTTTGAAAATATATTTGACAAATTTAGCCATTTATGTTAAATACTTTAACACCGTTAGTTATTCCGTCAGTAACTTTAACGTGAAGCTGATGTGGATGTCTCACCTCACACGTCAATCCAACTAAACATGCCATGCCACGTGGATGCCTTGTCATATTTAAATAATATTATAAATATATTTTGTGGCCCCTCGTATTCTTCTTTCTCTCTAAAAATTCTCCACAAAAAAACCAAATCCTCCGGCATCTCCATCGCAAATATAAAACTCCGACCTCCACCGCCCACCCACCGCCGAGACCCAATTCTCTGGCCGCCAAACACAAATATTAAATGGGAGTAGAGAGGGAGTTCGTAAGTGATCAGGAGGTGGGGGGGGGGGGGGGTTGACTTGTATTGGCTCTTGGTTAATTCAACATAGGAAATATAGAAAGATCTAGATCTAGAAAACAGAAATAAGACTGACTCGCTATGACACAACTCCTAACAATGGCCAAGTGTAACCAATGAAAGGGACTGCAGTATAGTGGCTCAAGTAATAAATATCGAATCCACGGGTCCCTAGAATTACTATTACTCAGCTTCAGTTCATTATCTAGCAAACCAGATTAAGATGGAAGAACTAAAACTACTCTAACAAACTATAGTTAAAGTTAATCTAATTACAGGTTGGGAACTCACCTAGGTATGATTCCCCCTAGCCACTAGCCAGATTAATGATTGATGATCTCTAACTTGTTTCACTTTCATTCACAATGCGGAGAATCCTTGACTAAACCTTGAATCTCGACTAAAGGATCAAGGCCCTCTTGAGTCAATTGCCTAGAGGGACGTATCCTTCTCTAGAACAACCGATCAAGGCCTTCTGAATTAGATTCCCTCTATCGAATGAGGTTCTCAATCGATACAAAGCATTGAATCAGCCCTCGACTAAAGCAATCGATCCAATACTATCAATCTATGGTGCTCTATTGACCTAATGAGGTATTCACTCTCATAGGATCAAAGCAGAATCAATAATCTCGACTAAAGCAGAATTGAATCATGAAAACGTGCATAGATTGAATATGAACTCAAGATTATCAAGTAAGAGTACTCATACAATCATCCAATCAAACAAACATAGCTAGGGTTCCTTAAAACCTAAGTGAAGGGAAGTTACTCCATAGAGAAGAAAGAGACTGCACTAAAAATCTTCAGATGATCGGTCTTCAAGTCTGGGCTTGTTCCTCGAGCTTCCAAGGCGAAGAAATCCTCCAATTCCACTCCAAGAATGCCCTCAAATCGCCCTCTCTCTTTGGTTCGTCCCTTGGGTGTTTGGGAACCAAAACCCAGCTCTCTCTTGCAAAAACGCACAAAACAGGCTTTTAACAGCCTGCATTCGCGATCCCCGGTCAGAATACCCGGTCGGGTATTTCGAGAACCGGTCGGGTATCAACAAAATGCTCCGGGTCACTCTTCTAGGCAAAAGGGAAAATACCCGGTCGGGTATTTTTGGTTCACGACCGGGGGCCTTCTAATGCTGCCAAAAAATACCCTATCAGATGGTCAAAATACCCGGTAGGGTATTATGGTCGGGTATTTTGCAGTTCCGGGTCCCCTATCTTTGATTCTTCATTTCTCCCTCGTTCAGACTCCAAATCAGGTGTCGTTTGATCCCAGACGCTCGTAGTCTCGTCCTCTTTCTTCTCATGACAAGATTACATGATTATATGGTCACAAACTGAGGTAGAAATCCATTCTTCTTCAAGTCATACCCGAGTTTTTTCTCCCGAGTCGCCAATTGATCTCCGATTGATTTGAAACTTGCGCCTACGCTTCACTTTATGTGCTAGGACCTGAAATGTGACAAAGGAACACAACCTAGCGTAAAATAGGCCAAAGAAGCGATAATGCAAGCTTAAACGATCAAGAAACAAAGGGGAAAACATGTGCAAATATCGAGTCATCAAAGACATTTCCTTTCTCTATTTTTTTCTTCTGTGAGTTACACCTGAGACAGAGAAGAGATATTTCCACTTGCGGCACACGATCGTGCGGAGGGATTTTGCGGGATTGAGATAAGTTGTGGAGCGGAGGAAGGGACGTCGAGGTGGATGACAAGAGAAGCCTCCGGAGCATATAGGGGAGGTGGAGTGGCCGATGGTGGGGAGCTGACTATGGGTGATTGGTGTGGTTAGAGGGGGATGAGACTAGTAAACCTGGCGAGAAGCTAGATGCGAGCAACAGGGACAACCAGGTAACACCAAGGGCAGAATTGAAACTCTAACTTGAATTCTCATTGATGATAATTATGCTTTATATACAAGGTTGGATCAGTAGAGGACAAACAACTCTTAGTTGTTGTTTACAGAAAGAAAACAGAGAATGCTGAGTTTGGAGGGAACAACAACTGGAGGAATGAAAGAGACGTTGAATCACAATGGCGACCTACCACCACTAACGGTCTCCATTGCACAAGACGGTGCCGTTGCACTTGAGGGTTCTGAATCCTTGCACGAGACGTTGCTCCCACTGATGGGCTTACTAGCCGTTGCATTTGGGGGCGAAAATTTTGTATTTTCGTCTGATACCCCCTCGCAAGCTGGTGGGCACAGATTGTGCACACCAATCTTGGAGAAGGTTGCTGGTGGGAGCGCCTTTGTGGACAGGTCAGCCAGTTGGTGAAGAGTCGAGACATGTAGAAGTCTGATGATGCCATTCTGCAATTTTCCCCTGACAATGTGACAATCTAGCTCTATATGCTTGGTGCGCTCGTGGAATGTTGGGTTCTCTGCGATGTGGATTGCTTATTGGTTGTCACAATAGATGATTGCAGGGTGTGGATGAAGGACCTGAAAGTTCTTGAGGAATAGTAGCCACTGGAGCTCACGTGCGGTATCAGCCATTGCCCTATATTCAGCTTCGCAGGATGATCTGGATATGGTTCGTTGCTTCTTGAATCTTGTATTACTTATAGAATCTTGTATTACTTATGCATTCCAAATCTCGTAATAAATATAAATTAAGATGTTAGAATGACAAGTCTTAGGTTTGTAGTCAGTTGGTTGTACATGTTAACGAAGGCTTATGTGAGGAGCCAAGACCATCTCCAATCCTAAGACTAGAAAACCAATTTACCAAAAACTAGTACTCCACTGGCAAGACCAAAGGGCTAGAAAAAAAAAAAAAAGGATCAAATTTTGTCCACAAAACGCTAAGAAGGACCAGAATTGGGGGTAGGGTTTTGCAATAAAGAGATGCATCGCATGTCCGGGAAGGGGTGTGCCCCCTGCCGCGTGTTTGGCGCACCGCCGTCTCGTGTGACTACTCGTTGGATGGAGCATTTTCTTATCCTTTAGTCCCCAGACTTCAGCCCAACGGCTCTTTGGACTCCAACAAGAAAAAAATTTCAAAATTTTCTATAGATAGTCATCAATTCTACACTTATAGTTGCATCAACCTCCCCAATTTTCTCTCCTTCTCATCATAAACACTTTCTCTTATTCTCATGAAACAAAAGAACTACTCTTTTTCACAAACTCTTGCTTTCAAGTGAAAAGCAAAATGACCCCAACAGACTTATAAGTTGTGATCCTCTATGTCTCTATC